AAGGCGTGAATCTGGGGTCTAGGGTGGTGGCGTGGCCCATCTGCAGGCAGTTGCTATGTGGAGCTGTCCCTCGCCCTCTGCCTGCTGCCGCTTTCTTTGTTTAGTGGGCGTGTTCATCTCTCAGATCAACTCTGATTCAGTGGGAAATACGCTACTGTTGATCACAGAATCACAGAATCATAGAATGATAAGGGTTGGAAGGGACCTTAAAGATCGTCTGGTTCCAACCCCCCTGTCATGAGCAGGGACATCTTCCACCAGACCAGGTTGCTCAGAGCTCCATCCAACCTGGCCTTGAACACTGCCAGGGAGGGGGCAGCCACAGCTTCCCTGGGGAATCTGTTCCAGTGTTTCACCACCCTCATGGTGAAGAATTTCTTCCTAATGTCTAATCTGAATCTGCCCTCTTTTAGTTTAGGGCCATTCCCCCTTGTCCTATCACTACACACCCTTGTAAAGAGCCCCTGTCCTTCCGTCCTGTAGGCCCCCTGATGCTATGCTTTGTTGTGAATTTCAGAAAGGTGAACCTGGTTCACAGAAGTGACTTGGCTGACGAATGGACTGGCAGCAGGATCTCCTGGACCCCCTTCCACAGGAAGGTGACCCCTGGGGACGCTGCTTAGTAACATGCTGTTTGTTTCACTCTGTAGCACGGTGATGCACGTGTGCTGGCTCGTGGGGAAGGAGAAATGCAGTCAGCGTGTGAAACTGCCACACTTGGAAGCGGTGGTAATTGGGCGTGGCCCAGAGACTGGGATAACGGATAAGAAGTGTTCACGGCAGCAAGGTGAGGTTTAGCTCAAATGCTGCTTTCTGCATGCAGCAGCAACCAGACTTGTGAAGAGTGTGAGATACAAGTACAGCACTCGTGTTTATTGGTAATCATCTTTCTTCTTTTTGGCCAGATTACAGTGAAGCTAGCAGACCAGTGTTTTGGCCTGATTCATAAGCCTGCTTTGAGCAGGGTCTAAATGGGAAATGACAATTTTTCCTTAAAATCTAATCAGGCTTTCCCTAGAGTGGCTTCTGCAGTCACTGGCTTGTGATCTGCATGGTCTATAGTGTTGCCTGATTCTGGAAGTCATCAAGCTTTTTTTATAAGCATTTACGGAGATCTCTGGGTCCTAAAAAATCAGAGGAGACACCTAATAACAGGAAGTTCACCATTGTAATCTAAGGCATTGCACCTTAACAAGAGTCCCCAGGCCCACAGTCCTGTTCCATTGCCTGTGCTCCTGCTTTGTGAGTGGCACTTCATCTCCCTGGTCTTCCACCAGCTGATTTTTAGTATGACTTGCTATTTTGTCGATGCGCTGGGAGAATACATAAAAATATCTGTGATCTATAAAATACTCCCCGTCTTCCCTGCCTTATCTTTCTTCCCTCTGGACTCCGTCCAGCTCCATGCCTTCTTGTCACAGAGGGCTGGTGAGAATAGCAAGAACCTGTAGAAGACTTCCATAGATTTCACCTTTGAATAAAGGTGAAGTAATTTTGCTGATCCATGACGTGAAATATGCAGGTGTGACTCAGTTGTATGGACTGGTTCTGTTTTACCTGTGGTCCTGGAAACAGAGGATGAGGGAGAAGTATTCTTTGCGTACATTCACAGAGATCAGCTTCAGAAGGTAGCAGATCTTAAAATACAGGACTGTTTTCTGCAAGGGGTGGCTCAGCAGAGTTCTAGCCTTTTGATTCACAGAGTTTTGTGACACTTTGTTCTTTCTTTTTTTCCAGTTCAGTTAAAAGCAGACTGTAATAAGGGATATGTCACAGTTAAGCAGGTATGTTTTCAAATGGGTGTACAATATTTCTGTTGCTTACTGGGACGGTTGTTTGTACTTAAACTCCACAAGTGCTGCAAATGGTGTTTCTGATCACTGGGTCTGAAGGGCCTGAGGTTGTTTTATGATCAAGGAGAGCACAGAGAGTGGTCCTCAGAAGGGATCTGTCTTTTTTTTTTTACTGTGATGTACCTCAGTGGAAAGACTGCACTACTTCCAAATACGCTCCAGACTTGCAGCATCGGGGCGCACTGCTCCCAGTCCTCAACCTATTCTTCCAGGCGCTAGGTTTGGGAGATCTTGGAGTTCTTCCTCTAAACTTGCTGATCTGCCTCCTGAGCCTTAAACTTCTAAAGCTGAGGCAGCCCTTTATTTAAGGTCAAATTGGTTCTTGTGTTTATGGGACTGGGCAGTTGTGGAAGGTCTTTGTTTTGATGGTTAATAGAGCCAAAGGTGTGTTCACCTCTGGGAAGGGACACGAGGCAGCACTGATGGCATTCTTATGTTACTGACTGGATTGATGTAGGCCCACTGTCACATACTTATGAGGACAAGTATCCCTGAGATAATATGAAGGTAAAATTCTCTGGCTTCAGGTGCTGGGGTATGTATGTGCCTCTGCAGCACCAGCATGTGTAGACAACACATCAATGTGTTCTGCCTACTGAGGAGTAACATCCGTCAAAAGACCCCCAGAGCTCAGTAAGCAGGGGGACCCCACCAGTACCTGCTGAATCCCGTGAGGGTCTCTCAGGCAGTTTGTGACAGGAGTCAGCCTTAGCCACAATTGGAATACTGTGTAACTGGAATACTTTGTGGCAGTGGGTGCTAGCACGCTTTCACTGCCTGCGCTGGAGTGATTTGTGTGTGGTACAGGCTTCCAGTGGTCAGTTGTTTGATAGCATGTTGGCCGGGGGCATGTGAAGTGTACTTGACTTGAGTGGAACTGCGGAGCTGTAGACTGAAGAGATCCTGGCTGGGATCATGCGGGTGCTTCATCGCAGTGAACACCAAGTGATGAGAGGCGCAGTACTGTCTGGTGAAACAGGCAGGTATCGCAGAGACAAAGCTAAAGAAACACTCTGTGACAGAGTTTATCAGTCACAAGGAAGAACTGGTTTCCTAAACCTGGTTTAATGCATAAACATTAACGAAAAGGGTTTTGCTGAAGTCAGAGAGTTCTCTTT